CGGTATGATCACAGTATAGTCTCTCTCTCTCTCTCTCTCTCTCTCTCTCTCACATGCCTTGATAACCTCGCACTTTCAGCTCCCCAAATCCTAATCTTTTACGGGGAACATATTGCAGTACCTCAACCACCGCCGTCATACAGCTCGCCCACACCTCCTACTGTTATTCTCCTTTAGCCTCGATCACCTCACTAGTGGCTGCCGAGCTTAACACTCACCAACTAAATCAACTAAAACATTTATATGTGTTTTCTTTTGTTTTCTTTCCACCCACAGCGGACTGAGACGACGAATACCAAACATTAGACAACAAAAGATAATCCTCTACGTATGACACACGCGGTAAGGCATTAGGAGTTGCATGACGCTGTGAGAGGACTGTGAATGTCTAGATGAGTGTAAGCAATAATAAAGAGCACGAGGGTCACTAATAAGGCAAGACAAGGAAGTCCTCAGTATTGATTTTCCACGTCTTATGGCCGTCGTGGTGAAGGTGCTGCATGGCTATGGGTGCAGGAAGAGGGATGACTGACTAGTGCCTCGAGTGAACGTGAGGGAAACTTTATTTTGATATGGAAAAAAGGATAGATATGATTACTTAATCTTCCTGAAAACTTTGGCAGGATGGATGTGGTGTTGTAACATAGAGGAGTGTTGTGTGTGTGTGTGTGTGTGTGTGTGTGTGTAGGGAAATGGTTTATATATTCATTATTAATATAGGGAGGTGGACGGGAAGGTCTAGAGAAGCACTGGCATGATGATACACTTTACAAGGTATAGAGGAACAAGGTTATTGGCACACACAAACAAGGTCATCTCAAGCCCACTCTTTCCTCCTTCAAGTTCATGATTCACTGCCGCCTTGTGCTCGTCTCACTGCCTCTATATATAACTTTTACAGCTGACGTTGGCCATCCTCACCAACTAACCTTCCCCTGATGCGCCTCACTGTGTACACTCATCTATCTCTTCTACCTATAACTAAAGTTTATTTCTTTAATGTCATATAAAATCAATAACTCGTGTAAAATTGTCAGTAAGTTAGTTAGTATTTTGTTTTGATTCTCGGTGTTCGTAGTTGTTTAATGGCGACATCTAAGAGGAGACAGAAGAAGGTTGTGGCAAAGTAGATACACTGATAAAGTTAGTTAATATGTCCACTAATCTAGATACTGAAGAGAGGGAATAATTTAATGTATTGAGAGATGTATCAGACGAAATCACCGTGAACAATACAAACACGAGGTAGAGAATCAATCTTCTTGTCTATCTGGAATAACTGGGTGATATCGTACCATTCGTCGTCAGCAGCCTATCACCCAGCTGAGAGGTCGTGTAGAAAGTCAGAGCGCCCCGTCTCTATACACCTCCTCGCCCCCTCACCTTCTCACCTCCACCAGCTTCGTACCTCTCTGGATTTGCCCATCGTTGTCTTTTAGTACAAGGAAGTCCATGATGTAAGGTCTATTCACACGTATGATTGCTGTTGACTGCTTATGAATCAACGGTGCTGGTTCAAGGTGGCGACACGAGAGGCTGTTGAGTAACTTTATGTTATATACGCAGCGCCAGTACAACCGAAGCAGCCCGGCTCCCGCTCTACATACCAACAAGAGTTTTCCTAGTCGATAGTATTTTGTTTTATTCATCTGGTTGGATCCTAGCATCAAAGGTCCTCGAGACAGATGAAGGATGGGTATATACCTCTACCTCTGTCACCTGTTTCCCTCACACCTCTCGGGTATCTGTTGCTCCCTCACCTGATGCAGCAAATGTGTAAATAGTAAAATTGTCTTCATTAATTTCTCGCTTTCTCGTCTGTCTCTACTTATATTAAATGTTCTGATAATAGTTACATTCACACCTGTTATAGTTCAGGAATGTTTACCCTCAGGCTTCTATACCAGACTCAAACATTCACAACACCAGAATGACAATTGAAGTAAAAAAAAAGTTTCCTGCAGAATGAACAGAAGTAAATAAAAGAACTGGAGCATCTTAACAAAATTATGGTGGATTTCTGGCGTAAACCTTAAACTCTTGTTAATAATTAATAACAGTTATTCTTAACCAAGTGATCCAACGAAATTAACCAAAACACAAAGGTCTTGTATCTCAACTCTGAGGTCTGGGTACCACAAGGAGAGCGTCTGTAGCGTGTGTTTACTTTCACCAGAGTAGCGTTTAGCAGTACACAGGTAAACTTCCAGACCCCCTTAGCCCCCCCCCCCCCACATTAGTCATTCAGAGCAGCTTCCCACCAGCTAATGTTGCAAGACCTGAGGGAGGAACACGGAGGAACAGTACACACACACCACCGGACTCCCACACCGTCAGTAGCAATGGTGATGGTGGTAGTGAGGGCATGAATGGTAATGGTGATGATGGTTGTGGTAATACAGAAATGGTCCCAGTTCTTATCTGTGTGTCACCTGTACTGTTTAAGCTACAATGAAATAGTTTCTCTCGCTCTTGTACGATAACTTTACCCATAGACTAAAAACATTACTCTTTCAACACACACACACACACACACACACTACTTACATCCTTCATCTCACGTTACAGCGCCATTGCCATACAGTAACTGGCAGCGTCTATTTTACGTCAGCATTCCTCATCCTGACACACTGACCCATCCAGAGGTATACTGAACAGTCACGGTGGTGTTACACAGCCCTGACGCACTCTCTCACCTATCTCCCGCCGCCGCTGACTGATAATATCATTCACTCTCACCCATGAACTGCTTCCTCTGTATAGAAATTCTCAACAACATTTAGGGTTCTTTGATTCCTGAAGCTATGTCGTGGGATTTCTTTAATAGCATGACACACACACACACACACACACACACACACACACACACACACACACACACACACACCAGCTACTTACTGTCACGGGCACTTCTCTTCACCTGGCTCATTAGGACGGGTCACCTGCCAACACTGCACCTTCATTATCACACCTGTTGCTACATCATCTCATTTCACGATGTTAAGATGTTCCATGGCCAGTCAGCAGCCCACCAGAGTTGTAGAGTAAATAACATCAGTTCTTTTTACAATACACTTGTAACGTTACATTCAAATATGACTTGATTTTTTTACGCAACTTATACACACACGGACATAATCAGTGTGATGCAGTGATTAAGAGTTACCTGTGAGGGATTATAAACACTTTATCCATAACATAACATTGAGCTATGGACATACACGTAAGAGTCGTTAAAGCGTTATACCACTCAGGACTGTATATTGCATACTGATGAGGATGTGAAAGGCTGGAGTAAGTTACATCAATCAGGTAAATACGTTAACGAAAACACGACAAAAATGTAAGTTGTAAATAATGACAGTCTTACCTGCCATCAGATGAAAGGTTTAAGAATTTTACCTGTATACGTTACGAATTACCTCAGAGCATTTCAGTACCACCTCCTTTCCTCTTTCACCCTCTCTCCCACCCACTCATCACCCCACTCCTACCCACTCATCACCCCTCCCAATTTCTCCTTCCCTTTCCCTTCACTTACACTTGCTTTATTAGTGATTCGTCACGGTTTAGTCTCACTCCACCCTCTTAGTAGATAAAATGTTAAGTGACTCACAAATTTCATGAATTGGTAGCCTTACTTTTCTGATGAATACGACTGCTACTTTTACCATCATCATCATCATCATCATCATCATCATCATCATCGTCGCTACTACTACTACTACTACTACTATTACTTTTACTATTGATCCCACGATTACTACTACTACTACTTGTAGTACTACTACTACTACTTGTAGTACTACTACTACTACTACTACTACTACTACTACTATTATTGATCCCACGATTACTACTACTACTGGTACTAATACAACAAAAAACTACTACGACTATTACTACTACTACTACTACTACTACCACTACTACTACTACTACTACTACTACTACTACTACTACTACTACTACTACGACCAATCCACGCCATTTGTTCATAGTATTCACGCAAGACTCGCGGTGGACGACCCTTGAGCTTAGAAATATGTAAATAAGTAGGTTTTTGGGAGGGCATCATTATCTTCACTGTCCTTCAGGAAGTATGATAAACAATGCAGGAGTTATGACGTGATAACACACTATTAGAGTCATATTCTGAGGTTATTTTGAGCTATAAACACGAGTCCTTGATGGGCCCGCCGCAGGGTTGACACACACACACAGGCACTTTACATGAGCTTCGTCCTCCACCACACCTGACAATCTCATGGAAGTGAACATTTGATAAAAGAGCGGAAGTTGTGTGTTACTACTACTACTATTTATTTATTTTTCTAATGGCCTCCATCCTCCCTGATAGCCATACCTTCGCCACCATTTTATTACCTTAAAATTAAATATCCTAATACATAAGTAGCTATCTTAGCTGTGTTGAGTTAGTTGAGCCGCAGATCTATTACTACTACTAAAATAATACAATACAATAATAATAATAATAATAATAATAATAATAATAATAATAATAATAATAATAATAATAATAACAACACCTGTAAAGTCAATAGTTACAATATCCATAACAATAACATCAATAATCATATAGTTATATTTCCCAACCACCGGCGCCATTATTATTAAGTTTATAGGTAACTACTACTCATAATGACACTTTATGTCACTATGATCTTGTTAATGACATAACTAATAGTAATAAAGAAGAAAATAATGAAGGAAGGAGAATAAAGAGAAGGTAAAAGAAGAAGACATGAATTTTAGCGTCTATGATAGTCTACCCTTTGACGAGGTCGAGTAGGCCGGGTTGTGCCCCCCGGGAGCCCTGAGCCCGAGCGTGGGATGTGTAGCAGAGGTCTCGGCTATGACCCTGACGAGGCCCTTCTTCTCCGTCTGCCCCCCTTCTTCCGCCATAGCCCTGGGATGATTGCAAAACTGGCGACGGTGTATATAAGAGCAGACCCGTGCTGACAGCCACACAACTCTCGCTCTCGGCCCGTCGTCGCCTTCTACTCCTCTTCCCACCGGGACTTTCCCTCCACCGAGTCTTCTGCCACAACCTTGAGTGATCCACCAGCTAAAACTTTGTTCCTTCCCGTGTGAGGATCTTCAGGATCTTTCCATTTACGATGACGAAGATCACGAGGAATATAATATTTGCCGGTAAAGTATTGTTGTGGGAAGTTAGTTACTCAGGCTACAGAGTGTCTTGATCCCTCGACACTCAGTTGGCAAGAGTGGGCATTACCAACTGTACCGGGAATGGCTTAGAGTGATTTCGGTCTGACAGTTTGTAACGCCCACGATTGTCTTCTGAGAGTCGTGGGTTCGAACCTCCCAGGGGTCATTAGTGATGTCTGTGCATATAATTCACGTTTGTCTATACAGCTTTCTGTGTGAGAGTAATGCCTGAAGGAATGTGTGGCTAAAACCTACCGATTACACAGAGCGAAAGTATTAAGAGGTTAAGAGAACTGATAGGATAAATAATAAATAAAATAGACCTTATGTGAGGGATAGAAGAAGGAATGGATTGAGTTAGTTAAAGAATATAATGAGAGTGTGTGTGATGGGGCGGTACCGGGGCAGTAAAGAAACGAGACGCGCCCAGGTCAGTTCATCTTGTTTCAGGCAGTGGAGTCGATGTATTGTGACGTCTTTTTCTCTTCTTGTTCTCTCGGCTTGTTGCTATACCAACCCATATAAGGATTACAGTATGTCTGAGAGAATGAGACACATAACTCATCCACGTTAAGGTGCACGAAGACACGAAATATAGAGCTTTTTGGTGAATGTAAACGTGACGTTACACAGAGTTCCCACAAGTGTGTATTACGTGACAGTTCCCCACTGACTTTCTCGTCCTGTAAATTCACTTTTGCTTTACTTTACATTAAACTTTCATAAACAGGGTAAAGCTGCATTACTCAGACTTTTTTATAGTTTAGAAATGTATCTACAAAAAACAGTTAAATAAAATGGTGCGTGGCAACTGACCATCGCTACGGGAGCAAGGACGGAGGAGCTATGAACTTGCTCACGTCTCCCGGCCCCGGGTACTAACCAGTCAGTGTGGCGGCCTGACATGCTGGAGGAGGATGGTAAGCGGTCCTTCCCTCCCGTGGCCAGGCTGCAGGCTCCAGCTGCCTTGACATGGATGATATACTGAAACTGTCGACAAATTGGGCGCCAAATAATAGCTGTTGCAGATATGTAGAATGTCTCCCAATACATGAGTGTTGGTAGTGAATTTCTTGAAGCAATAGAAACTTTCTTACAGTAGTTTGTTAAGAGAGAGAACCAAAAGCTTGGGTATTATCTGAGTTAAATTCATTCCTTTTGTCACTGCTGTCACATGATTCATTTTATTATCACGAGGGTAAAAATTTTATCCACTCCAACTTGGGTAATCAACAGCGTCGTATTTTCACTCTGCTTGCCAGTAGCTGACCGCAACGCCTCCAGCTAAATATTGTAAATGATCACATGATGAGACTATTGGCCCGTCAGACAACACCACCGTAAGACGTGTTCACTTAGCTTTACTCTTTATCACCTCTGAGATTCATGTTATAATAGACGGTGTTATGGTGGTCACCGCTTCCTCACCTCACTAGAAATTGAACACGTCTCAGAACCAGTCGTAAGCAACGTAAAAAAAAAAAAAAACATTACTCAGTTCAGTTAGGTTAGGTTAGGTTAGGTTAGGTCATTAATCTACTTTTTTTTTTCTTGAGACAGACTTAATTCATCCTTCTCTTATGATAAACACTCCAGACTGTCATCCATTTAACTTTCCCTTCATAACTGTACATTCACATTATGCTGTCATATATAACACAGTAACTCTCACTACCACAACAACAACAACTAACACTTCTCCCACGTCAACAAGCTGACCGCCAGTCCCACACGCCGTAAGTTACACACCTGTCTTACCAGCACACCTGCCTCTAATTATACACATCTTCCCTCAACCGTGTTTCCTTCTTTACCACACACACACACACACACACCTGCCTTGAACTACACACCTTCCCTCATTTATTAAGATCGTCTCCTCATTCTACCTCATGAGTTTGACCAAAGTGTGTCTGACCTTGGCTCAAACGTCGCTCCAGTCACCAGTTATAATCTACCACTCATCCAGTCTAACTCATAGTCCCAGTCACCTGCCTAATTAAAGACCCCGATTATTATTCTTAAGACGCTTTGATAATTTTCCAGGATAGATTATCATTTACCATAACTAACAAGAATTATTAACATCATTTAGACTTCGTTCATAGTGTTCTTAGTATTAATATTATCCTTGAATACGAAATTGGTACGAAGTTAAATGGGTGAGAGAGAGAGAGAGAGAGAGAGACCAAAGGAAGTTATCCGGTCATGAACCATCACTTATCTCGAAAGTTTAAAACAACAACAGGTCATTATAAGTAGTACGAGGAGGGGGGTAGTAGGGTAGGGGAAGAGGAGGGGAAGGGGAGGAGGAGGGGAAGGATGAGGGGAAGGGGTGAGGAGGGAAGACCGAGACTTAACCCTTGAAGAAGATTCCCTCCACTTACAACACTTATCATCCCTTGTAACACACACTTATCATCCTTGTAACACACACTTATCATCCCTTGTAACACACACTTATCATCCTTGTAACACACACTTATCATCCTTGTAACACACACTTATCATCCTTGTAACACACTTATCATCCTTGTAACACACACTTAGCATCCTTGTAACACACTTATCATCCCTTGTAACACACACTTATCATCCTTGTAACACACACTTATCATCCTTGTAACACACTTATCATCCTTGTAACACACACTTATCATCCTTGTAACACACTTATCATCCCTTGTAAAACACACTTATCATCCTTGTAACACACTTATCATCCCTTGTAACACACTTATCATCCTTGTAACACACACTTATCATCCTTGTAACACACACTTATCATCCTTGTAACACACACGTATCATCCCTTGTAACACACACTTATCATCCTTGTAACACACACTTATCATCCTTGTAACACACACTTATCATCCCTTGTAACACACACTTATCATCCTTGTAAAACGCACTTATCGCCCTTATAACACACACTTATCATCCTTGTAACACACACTTATCATCCTTGTAACACGCACTTATCGCCCTTGTAACACACTTATCATCCTCCTCTTCTCCACAGCTTTGGTCGGCGTCTGTTTGGCACAACAGAGAAGCTACCTTGCCCCGACAAACGGAGGTAACGGTAATGGAAATGGCAACGGGAATGGTAATGGAAACGGAAATGGAATTGCTACCAATGGAAATGGAGGATACTCTTACGGGGCTAATGGAAATGGTGTGAATGGGAATGGTGCAGTAAATGGTAATGGTAATGGAAATGGGGGTTATTCCTACGGTAATGGAAATGGCAATGGTGCAGTTAATGGTAATGGTAACGGGAATGGTGCAGTAAATGGTAATGGAAACGGCAACGGAGGCTATTCATACGGAATAAATGGAAATGGTATTGGAAATGGTAATGGTGGTCTTACCAACGGTAATGGAAATGGCAATGGTGGTTACACTAATGGTAATGGTAATGGCAATGGTGGCTCTACCAACGGTAATGGAAATGGCAGCGGTGGCTATACCAACGGTAATGGTAACGGAAATGGCAATGGTGGTTACACTAATGGTAATGGTAATGGCAATGGAAATGGCAATGGTGGCTACACCAATGGTAATGGTAATGGCAATGGTGGCGCTACCAACGGTAATGGTAATGGCAGTGGTGGCTATACCAACGGTAATGGTAACGGAAATGGCAATGGTGGCTACACCAATGGTAATGGCAATGGTAATGGTGGCTACACTAATGGTAATGGCAATGGAAATGGTAATGGTGGCTATACCAACGGTAATGGTAATGGCAATGGAAATGGCAATGGTGGCTACACTAATGGTAATGGCAACGGTAATGGAAATGGCAATGGTGGCTATACCAACGGTAACGGAAATGTCAACGGCATCGTGGACCCCATCACCGCTCTTACTGATGCTATTGGAGGTGGCGGCGTCCCCGGCGTGGACTATCCCATCCTGGCTTCTGTCCCAGAGACCGGCTTCCTGTGTGACGGACAAATACCCGGATACTATGCTGACACTGCCCCCGAGGCCGGCTGTCAGGTGAGTTATGTCAACCAAGTTCCTTGTATTTCCACACTTAGGGTTTGTGATAAGTGACTCATTCTCTTAAAGCCCAGGTAAACATTGTCCACTGTGGAGTTATTTTGACCATTTTCTTTTCACTTTTAAGATAATGGAAAGTAACAGTCAAGTTCACTTATCATTTCTTAAGTGTTTATAGTTATATAATAATAAGTAAATGAATAACAATTAATCAACTTTTTACCACAAATAAATACAGTATAGTACTGTTATACCCTCCCCTACTCTGAGATTGTTCCCTATTTCATGTTACAACCTTTAGCCAATTACTATTATTATTTTGTTTCACTTGTGTCAGTGTCGTCAAGCTGAACACTAACAGTCGCCACAACACCACCACGAGTGTATAATGTTGTCTTTGGGAAAATGACTTGTGTACGACCTTGTTCAAGAGGTTCAGTATCCTGGGTTGTTAGTTGATTGTTGGAGTTAGAATCTATTCATATTTTTGCTGCTTAAAATTTGTGAAAGATACTGAACAAATTTTGTTTGTCATTTTGTTAGTAACTTGAGATTAATTCTAGCTTGAGATTCATTAGTGACCCACATGCTATTGTTCACTCTTACCCCATCTGATCATCCTCCCTGTGCCATGTTAGTCAACCAGATGACCCTCGTGTTGAACAGTCCCAACCACTACAGCTGTGTCTTCGTCTCTTGTCCTCGACAGGTGTTCCACATCTGTCAAGCAGATGGCAGGATCGACTCCTTCCTGTGTCCCAACGGCACCATCTTCAACCAGCAGTACTTCGTGTGTGACTGGTGGTACAACTTCGACTGTTCCACCGCTGAACAATTCTACGAACTCAACGCTCTGATTGGAGTTATCAACGGTAACGGATATGGCAATGGTTATTCCAATGGAAACGGAAATGGTAATGGCAACGGAAATGGCAATGGAAATGGTAACGGAAACGGGTATGCAAATGGTAATGGATATTCTAATGGAAATGGAAACGGAAATGGCAATGGTGTTGGAAATGGAAACGGAAATGGCTACTCAAATGGCAACGGTAACGGATACACCAATGGTAATGGCAATGGGGCTGCCAACGGCAATGGTGTTGGAAATGGAAACGGAAATGGCTATTCAAATGGCAACGGTAACGGATACACCAATGGTAATGGCAATGGGGCTGCCAACGGCAATGGTGTTGGAAATGGAAACGGAAATGGCTATTCAAATGGCAACGGAAACGGATACACCAATGGTAATGGCAATGGGGCTGCCAACGGCAATGGTGTTGGAAATGGAAACGGAAATGGCTATTCAAATGGCAACGGTAACGGATACACCAATGGTAATGGCAATGGGGCTGCCAACGGCAATGGTGTTGGAAATGGAAACGGAAATGGCTATTCAAATGGCAACGGTAACGGATACACCAATGGTAATGGCATTGGGGCTGCCAACGGTAATGGTGTTGGAAATGGAAACGGAAATGGCTATTCAAATGGCAACGGAAACGGATACACCAATGGTAATGGCAATGGGGCTGCCAACGGCAATGGTGTTGGAAATGGAAACGGAAATGGAAATGGCTACAATTACAACAATGGTAATGGGAACGGAAACGGCAATGGTAATGGTATTATCAACGGTAACGGTAATGGCAATGGCAGTGGAAATGGCTACAGCAACGGTAACGGCACTGGAAACGGTAATGGCAACGGTAATGGAAACGGCAATGGCAACGGTAATGGAAACGGCAATGGCAACGGTAATGGCAACGGTTACAACTACGCCGCTGCCTCGTCCCCCAACGGATTATACCAGACGCCTAACGTATAAGACTAAGAACGTTCCTCATACCTCTCTTTCTCTCTCTCTCTCTCTCAACCGACGATGAAGCTGCAACGCTCTTTCCACCACTCTGATCTCTCTTCAACAGCTGTAAGGAGAGACCACGAGTGTTTCTGGACAACATGCAGCTACCACGAGTAAGTTTAAGTCACTGACCCTGAAACACACTCTTTCGACCCCAGGACACAGTCATAGGGGATACCGTGTAGTGTGTTTACCTCTAGTTATATTTTATAAGTAAGTGTTAAAATCTTCTCTACTTTAACTATTACACTGTATTCTCGTACATAATTAAGAGGATACAGTTTCAACAGTTTAGGAATTATATCTTCATCTTGAAATTATTTTTTTACAAACATTAATTCAAATTGTAAAAGAATTCTCAATGATATTCCTGGATCAGAACTGTCATTGGATTAGCATACCCCAGGAATTTCATTATTCTTTCTTCTCTTGCAATGTTTATATGGTAATCAAGTTCCTCATAGTCCATGCTTATATCTTCTACAGCTTACATTTAATATAAAGAATATCTCAAAGTTCATAAGACTTATTTTAGGTCTGTAATCTCTTCATCAACAATAATATTTTCACTACCTCAACATACTGATGGTTCCTCGTCTCCTGGTCAGTTTGTTTATCATTGTTAGTGGAAATACCTGTTCAAAAATTTCTTATCTGAGACTTGTAGGTTAAGTACCACAAAGTACCAAAGGTAAAAGTTCACAGATTAAGTAATAAATTATTTTTTTATGATTTTTCTTTACAGCATATAAAGTACTAACAATACTTGTGCCATATATTTCTCATGTATATGCTAACTTGCAATATATTCTCTATTTTTTGTGTAATTAATATATAAAAAAGATATATAATATAAATACTTGAATTTTAAAGGTTTTTTCACTATCCTCTTTTATTGTACAGAGTTAAATGACAGGATGCCACTGTTTAAGAATCAAACACTAAAACACCTCATCACCTGCCTCATGAATCCACATACAATATTCGATTCGTCATTTAAAACACATAACCCTCTTTTGTTCTTATAATAAACACCAGTAAATTTTTGTGCAATAGATGGTCATTGCTAATAAGAATCACACGTACATTAAAATTTCACTACAACTATAGATTTTCATATAGCAAAAAATTAATTTGTAGGTAGTAACTTTTTAGTCTTGTAAAATAATAAGTTTACCCCTTGAGTATGATGACTTAATTACTTTAGTAGGATAACTTAACATCTTTAGTAAGTTGACTTAATTCCCTGAGTACGATGACTTAACGCATTGAGTCCGTTGTCTTAATTCCCTGAGTACGATGCCTTAACATTCTGAGTAAGTTGACTAAATTCCCTGAGTACGATGCCTTAGCACCCTGAGTACACTTGACTTAATTCCCTGAGACGATGACTTAACGCATTGAGTACGTTGTCATAATTCCCTGAGTACGATGCCTTAGCACCCTGAGTACACTTGACTTAATTCCCTGAGTAGGATGCCTTAACATTCTGAGTAAGTTGACTTAATTCCCTGAGTACGATGCCTTAATCCCTTGAGTATGATTACTTTTTACCTCCTGAGAACTATATCGTAATCAAAGGGTTAGAATGCCGTACTCGAGGGTCTCAGTCATTATACTCAAGGGTCTAAGTCATTATACTCAAGGATCTAAGTCATTATACTCAAGGAAGTCATTATACTCAAGGGTATAAGTCATTATACTCAAGGGTCTAAGTCATTAGTCTAGTATTACTAATGGGTCTAAGTCATTATACTCAAGGGTCTAGTTACATTATACTTAAGGGTCTAAGTCATTATACTCAAGGGTCTAAGTCATTATACTCAAGGATCTAAGTCATTATACTCAATGGTATATGTCATTATACTAATGGGTCTAAGTCATTATACTCAAGGGTCTAGTTACATTATACTCAAGGGTCTAAGTCAGTGTACTAATGGGTCTTAGTCATTATACTCAAGGGTCTAAGTCATCATACTAATGGGTCTAAGTCATTATACTCAAGGGTCTACTTACATTATACTCAAGGGTCTAAGTCATTATACTCATTAAACTGAAGATATCATACACTACCACAACGTTCACTCACCTCTGCCGTCCACCACCACAACACATAACACAGGCGTTAGGTAGCGGTTTACCATTGAGTCTGAGATAGTTTTTGGCATAATTTCTCCTAATCCATGTCTTCATACTGTACTTTTCTCAACCTAACCTAACCTAACCTACAGTGTATACAATTACTTGGTCTCCGTGAAGGTCTCAGATACTTTGGAAGTCCGATTCGAAATTTTAGGATGAGAATTTACGAGAAGTTGAGATCATTACCTTCAAACTCTATAATTAGGGAACTTTAGGGAATCTTAGACATTATTTAAGTATGGAGGATCAGATAATCATTAAAAAACGTATTTTTGGTAAATTTGAGGATGTTTGGGTCGCTATACATCAATGAGTCGAGACCTAGAGTGAACCATTATTGAACCGCTGCTTCATTTGTTTGTGCTTAAAGTTTTTATTGCTGTGCTTTTAATGCTAACTGTGTATCTCTATGGCAGCTCACTCATTGAATATTATTACAATATTTCAATTGAACTTAGGATATAAGATCTACATTTGAACTTTCTCATAATATTCAGTTTTAATCCATGAGATCTGTAAACGACGCTTGACTTTATACTCAAACCAAATCACCTTTTGTTTACTACACTTACTACCTGATTCATTTAGTTTCAATCCACGTCCACAGAGTAACCCGTTCTGACACCCCCTTTACGATATATGTGATGAGTTGTATGATATAGTCTACCAGATAATTTATTGATGATGACAAATCTAGTAAACTATCATTATTAACCTTAGCTTAAATATAGATAATTATTTCTTCTTCCTTATGGGGACGGGTCTCTATCCACGGTATGGGTGACGTAACCTGGATTGAGGAGAGGTTTACTTCTACAGGATACATGGATATTTTACAAGAATTTTTCCTCCCTTCATTTCAGGAACAGAACTATCCAATCCTTGCAGGCCCCGTAATCTTTGTCCACGACCACTACACCATCCACACAGCCCGAGTAGTCCAGTAATGTTTAGGAGACAGAGACGACCCGTGGCTGCTGAGTTACAGACCAAAGGAGTGAGATAATAATATATGAACCTTAGAGCGCCAGAGAGACAACAGACACCAAGGGAACTTATGGTCCATACTCATGTCCAGTAGGATCTGCAACAAGTCACAGCTCGTCTGGAACCCTGTCGCCTCTATGCTGGAGAGACTACGGCCAGTGATTGAGAAGGAGGATGGAAGGGCATACTATTAACATTCAGAATAAAAGTAAACTAAATTATGTGTTATCTGATTATCCTTATAATATGACGGGAATATAAATCATACCACATACTACAATAATAGGCTTTAACCTGTCTGAGGGGAAGGTCCACGGAGTCCTGAGTGCTGCCCCCTACAATTGCTACTAAGATTCAGCATGACGCAGATTAACATTTTATATGTGTATATAACCTAATCATATTGGATGTTTTGTTAATTAATGCGAAATCAAGTATGAAAGGTGACCTGCTATGTGCTAGCCGGTACACCACCACCATAACATGTTCTCTCAAAGTCTATACCATCCTGACTGTACTGTAAGACTACTGTAGTGACTTCGATATTCCTCTGATTTACTTAGCGAGCGACTACATCACGTGGAAATATCGGCAGCTCGAGAGAGACCCGGGCGAGGGTAGAGCCAGCCTATCACGGACTACTTTATCAAGATATAAATTATCTATAAACGAGATCATGTGTAGACGACTAGATAAATAAAACACAGACATTGCAATATCATGTTGGCAGTATTAATGTATCATGTTACAGTAAATGGGTCTATCAGTAGAGCTCTTACAGATTAAGTGTGAAAGGTCAGTTCTTATTGATAGATAAAAGGACATAAAATTATATCATAACTAAAATACACTCCTTAATCTACAGCCCTGCCCTAGTTAGCCTCGACCAAGCACCCACACAGTGACGCAGTGTAATAATCTACGAGTTTCATTTCAATCGTGGGAAAACGGCAAGCATAGTATATAGACGGGAAGCGGCGTAACATTTACATTAGGATAGTAGTATGTCTGATATACAGGGAAAAATGGCACCTTAAAAATGGCACAACTAACAAACAAAGAATAAGTGGCAAAAAAAATCATCTAGACCCCTGAAGTAAGATAAAGGTTGGAGGAACACAACGACTGAACACCGTAGATTGTGAAAGTATACGAGGGAGGCCTTCAGCCACCAGTAGACTGCAGGAGGCAACCCGCTCATGTTGCTCAAATATCTTTTATCTTAAACACGGGTCAACGATCACCCTTCAGGAGTCTACAGGGACAAGTTACCTAAGAATTACATCTACAAGTTGTTATAATTAATAATTTACTCCTTCTATCACCTCAAACACGTGACAGATCCTGATACTTAGTGATAACAATTAGGAAACTGTTAGTAAACCAAGTCATTAGAGGGTCAAAGTTCATCTAAATATAGTAGTAACCAATTTTTGTATCAGACAACTTGGGGTCGATATTTGGGTTTTATAGCACTAGAAAACGATTGATGAAGTTATACACCATATTAAGTTATAGAGGTCAGAGGTAAATTGCTGAGGTCAAAGGTCAGGGGTGAGTGGAAATTGTTCATAGTATATCAAGTTTTGATGGTTGGGTACTGCCAATAGACAAAACATACTTTATACGTGACGTTCAGGAATATCTTAGGTTAGTGAGGTCATTAGGCAAATATTTAGGTCGAGGGTCATGAGTACAGTGCAATTATTATGTTTAAGATGTCATAAGAGTGGAGGGTTGTATAATGACCGTACACAATAGTCACTAAATCTGTAGTTTTGGACAATATATGGTGCCGGAGACCAAGATGTTTTGGGTTCCTAAAACTAAAGTGCCTTAATTACTGGCCAGTGCTGACTCTCTCCCTGTTAGTAAGGATTCATCAGGTCAGATTTCTAATTCGTGATAAAAACCTCGTAGGTGGTGGACCAGAAACACACAAGTAGTTCTCCCTTGATGTTACGTTTTCCTTGTTGCCGTCCTTGACGCGGGAGGACCGCCTGCCTGACCACCACCAGGTATATAAGACGCCGCGCCGTCTACCCACCATCACATCTCCCCCTCATCTTCTACCACCTCCCTGCTACCTCTCCCAACTTTTACTCTCAGTCTCACTTTTTCAGAAGCAAGCTAAGGAAACTTGCTTTTCTATTTTCTATTAATTTGCTTTCTGGGACCTGAAGCATGACTAGAATAATGAGAAGCCTTCTATGTCTAGGTAAGTTACTTTATACTCTTCTCAGGTGTTTTGATGATCGTGTTTGTTTATTTAATGTGAATGTAATTACGTTTCGTATATCCTTTATGCCTATTAACTCAGACATTTTAATTTCCTTCTTGAAATTCTCATTAATTAATTCATATGGCTTAAGTTTCACCCTTTTCCCTTCAGCTATTAAAGTCGAGTAATATATGGCTATAAGAAACACATAATTCGATTTTCAAATTCTATTAAAGAGAAACTACCTTTAATACACTGTATGGTCTTGAGCTCCGTGAGATTTTATAACAAATAAATGTATATTAACTCTCATGATAGCAATATTTGAGTTTGCTGACCCCGAGTAGGAAGAAAAGCGTCACATACAGGTAGTTCCATCACTCAGGGTTCACTGTAATTCTCTCCATAGTAAAAGTACAACATATTAAAACAATAAGGCTTCGTTATACCTCGACATCCACTTTAGTTGTTAGGAAGATAGAAAGAGGAACATTGGGGACGTCAGTAAACATCGAAACTTAAATGTTTAGTGAGTTTTTTTCCATTGTCATGTGTTTGATTACAAAGATGCCATTTCTTCTTAGTCTGCATTGTATTAAGAAAACATTATTATTTTCTATATACAGCATCAAATAAAGTAAAAACATTATCTTAATTAGTTCACTGGAATTATGACGATTTTCTGCCTATTGGTGGCGGAGTTTGAAGCTTGTATGAGGTACCGTGTAGGTGTAGACAGGTGTTAAGAAGCAGAAAGGGTTCAGGGCAGGTAGAATCATCACTCATGGAAGGTGTAGATAACGAATCCACCTCACCTACACTCAGGTCTTCACCGAGTCCTCTAACAACTAATTACTCTTTCATCATAAGCCACCTAGCAGTCTTAGTTGTTGAAGCACAATATAACATCACCATCATATAACTAACTTAATTTCCTCACAAGATCTCGTAAGAGGTATTATGTGACCCAGACTTAACACGGATATTGCTGCTCTGTGATGTACTTTACTCTGGCCACCAGTAATGTCGGTGTTGTTTCCTCAACAACAGGTGTGATAGGCGTGTGTCTGGCTCAGCAACAGACTTACCTGGCGCCAACTAATGGCTTCAATGGTAACGGTGGCATTGCTAATGGAAATGGCAATGGTAATGGTAATGGCGCAAATGGCAATGGTGTAAATGGTAATGGTGCATATACTAACGGCAATGGTAACGGAGTAAATGGCAATGGAGTAAATGGAAATGGCGCATATACTAATGGAAATGGTAATGGAGTAAATGGTAATGGAGTAAATGGAAATGGTAACGGAGTAAATGGTAATGGTGCATATACTAATGGAAATGGTAACGGAGTAAATGGAAATGGCGCATATACTAATGGAAATGGTAATGGAGTAAATGGTAATGGAGTAAATGGAAATGGTAACGGAGTAAATGGCAATGGTGCATATACTAATGGAAATGGTAATGGAGTAAATGGAAATGGTGCATATACTAATGGCAATGGTAACGGAGTAAATGGTAATGGTGCATATACTAATGGAAATGGTAATGGAGTTAATGGTAATGGAGTAAATGGAAATGGTGCATATACTAATGGCAATGGTAATGGAGTAAATGGCAATGGTGCATATACTAATGGAAATGGTAATGGAGTAAATGGCAATGGTGCATATACTAATGGAAATGGTAACGGAGTAAATGGCAATGGTGTTTACACCAACGGCAATGGAGGAAACGGCAATGGAGTCAATGGTAACGGCAATGGTGGATATTCCAATGGTAATGGAATAAACGGTAACGGTGGTTACACCAACGGCAACGGCGCTGTTAACGGGAACGGGTACTACAACGGCATCGTGGACCCCATCAGCGCCCTTGCTGATGCTATTGGAGGTGGCGGCGTCCCCGGCGTGGACTATCCCATCCTGGCTTCTGTCCCCTTCACTGGATTCTCCTGCGGCGGACTAATACCCGGATACTACGCTGACACTGCCCCCGAGGCCGGCTGTCAGGTGAGTCTTATACTGCCCCCGAGGCCGGCTGTCAGGTGAATCTTACACTGCCCCCGAGGCCGGCTGTCAGCTGAGTCTTATACTGCCCCGAGGCCGGCTGTCAGGTGAGTCTTATACTGCCCCGAGGCCGGCTGTCAGGTGAGTCTTATACTGCCCCCGAGGCCGGCTGTCAGCTGAGTCTCTTTAGAGTAATCATATGTATACTAATATTGGCAAAACTTTGACGAATAGATGTAAACATTTCTTCCACACATTAATGGTTATATTGTATAATAGGAACAGTTAAACCTTACATAGACTTACACTATAAAGTATCATATCACTTTCCCAAACAAGCAAGAGACTCTCAGACTCAACGACACTCTTCTTTCTTTACTGAAAGTTTTAGTTGAACGTAGAACACATTTTTAATTCGTGTTTTCCAGTCTTTTAAAACCCTTCTTATTAGTTTTTTGTTATTTCAAGAGAATTATTGATTATTTTTAACTGGTCTTCGAAACGGGTTCTTGAAGGTCTTATACTGTTTAAACAAGAGAGATATTAAAGGCCTATCTTAAGGAAGTTCAGTTGATTTGTCCTCAGTTCATGGGTTTACCGATATGTTCTTCACTGCAGAGTTTACGTAACACATTAACTGAAGCTCCTCCATCACCAACACTGGATGATCGATTGTGTTATACTTCATGAGACACAAACTAGTATTCTTAGTTAACTTTTTGTCCTAATGACCTCAAAATAATTTTTATTCTTCAAATTCTCAAATATCAGTATTTACTCTGAATTATTTGTCTATGTTGTTATTAAGATGTATATTTTCACTATAAAAACAGGATCTCTAAGTCAACGTTCATCTTCTCTTGAAAATGTATCAAAGAAGTTTTCTCTATGTTATCCTCGACAGGTGTTCCACATCTGTCAAGCAGATGGCAGGAACGACTCCTTCCTGTGTCCCAACGGCACCATCTTCAACCAGCAGTACTTCGTGTGTGACTGGTGGTACAACTTCGACTGTTCCACCGCCCCGCAGTTCTACGACCTCAATGCTTTGATCGGAGTGGTCAACGGTAATGGCAACGGATACACTTATGGTGTAAACGGTGTTAACGGTGTTAACGGTGCTTCCAACGGTAATGGGAATGGCTATACCAATGGTAATGGTAACGGCCTCACCAATGGCAATGGTAATGGCAATGGATATACCAATGGCAACGGTAATGGCAACGGTCTCACCAATGGTAATGGCTATACCAATGGTAATGGCAATGGCTATACCAATGGTAATGGCAATGGCCTCACCAATGGTAATGGCAATGGATATACCAACGGAAACGGTAATGGCAACGGTCTCACAAATGGTAATGGCAACGGTGTCACCAATGGTAATGGCAATGGATATACCAACGGAAACGGTAATGGCAACGGCCTTACTAATGGGAATGGCAACGGTCTTACCAATGGTAATGGCTATACCAATGGTAATGGCAATGGCCTCACCAATGGTAATGGCAACGGTCTTACCAATGGTAATGGCTATACCAATGGTAATGGCAATGGCCTCACCAATGGTAATGGCAACGGGATCACCAATGGTAATGGCTATACCAATGGTAATGGTAATGGCATTGCCAATGGTAATGGCAATGGCCTCACCAATGGTAATGGCAACGGTCTCACCAATGGAAATGGCTATACCAATGGTAATGGCAATGGCATCACCAATGGTAATGGTAATGGGTCTTCTCCTAATGGACTGTACCAAACGCCCACCTTGTAATCGTCACACCTTAACCTGGTCGTCGTCTCTTTAAGTTACACAGAAGCTGTAATGTGTTGACCTTCACCTGCTGTCTGACTCAACAGGTGTGAAGTGAGTCTCAACAGGTAGAGGTGATCAAGGCCGCAGTACTTGTAATAACTTTACCTGTTGTCACCCTCACTGACTCACCTGTTGTTCTGTTTAATAGTAATTTGGCTTCTCTTTGATCTCACAACTTTATTTATTCTTTCTCACACCAACAAACTTTATGCATAACAATGTAAGAGAAATAACTGGAATGTTTGTTTACAATGATGGTAAATATTAGCCAATTACCTGCCTTGTGTTACTGTTGTCTCTGTCTCAAACATTTTAGTTTTCTTTTAACTTTAACATTTCTGTCAACATCAGTTTCTTGTTCATATTCTTCAGTCATTCTCATGTGCCGGAAAACCTCTTATATGGCTACAGTTCTCTAATACTTCTGTTTCCTAATGAATCAACTATTAACTATTATTATATTATTTCTTCTTGTGTTTGTCTAATGATTTTACAGTTACTGATGTTAATTTGACGATACAATTTGGATGTATTTTAACTAGACATAATGTTTGTGTATCCAATATGTTATGGTTGTTTCTTAACACAGATTCTATAGTATGTGATATAGTGAGAATCATGGTGCCATAAGTCTTCCATATAAGGCAGCTTACCTGATCTTATCTTAGAGAATTTATAAATGAGAATATATATATATTTATGAATTTATATATTAAAGATGCTTGCATTATAAAATATATATCATTTATCCTCCTATATTCAGATATATTATCAATCTATTGTCAGTAAAATAATACGCTCTAAAAATGTTACCTCACCCATCACAAACATTTCCAGCAATAACTCATACACACTGACACGCTACCCATCTCCCATTCACCAGTTCTATCACTCAATCTTTTTACTTCCTCTTCAGTATCCCCTCTTGCTTCTCTCACCCATTTTCTTCCGTTTATTTCTCTTCTTTTACCAATATTTATCTTCCAATTCTCCCACTGTTCACATACCGCCTCACAAAACACTGGAGTCTCATGAGGGGGGAAACAACTCCAAGTGCCACTGGTTGATTATTAACTATACAATATACATCAGTTTTCCTCCCATACACAGTTTACCGTATATAAAGTGAGAAGAAAAATGGAAAAAAGTGACAAGTTAATTTAAGAATATTATAGCGTCAGTTGTTAGTGATATTACTAGACGAATGTTAAGACGTGGAGGGGAAGAAAGGTGATAACACGGAGGACAGAAGTGTAGAAGGCAGGAAAGACAGAGAGAAGAGTATCAGATGACTAACATAGCATCGTGTATACTGTAGTTCATCTATTACTACATACAGCAATAGACGATATGAATAAACCTAATAATTGTAAACGAAAAGGGCAGATGTCCTGTATAGTGTGGGGTCAAGACAAGGGGCGTGAAACAGTGTGAATCAGGTTCATTGGATTGAGGAAAAATTAATTAGTGAAAAAAAAAATTAAAAAATCTTTCTTTAATTTTATAGATCTGTTAAAACACATACATGACTAACTCGAAAAAAATGCGACGTAGGAACTATTGATATTAATTATGATAGATAGTTTGATATACAGGAATGATTAATACTTGTAACGGGACACACATCATCTGTTGTTTTCAGACGACGAGAGAAGAGTTAAAAAAATTTTATTAATAGATTTAGAAGAGTGTGTTGCTAGAGAACTTTATCAGAGAACGTGGACAATAGTAAAGTAGTGACGTCATGTAGAGAAGGAGGAGCAGAGAGAGAGAGAGAGAGAGAGAGAGAGAGAGAGAGAGAGAGAGAGAGAAACAGAGAGAGAGAGAGAGAGAGAGAGAGAGAGAGAGAGAGAGAGAGAGAGAGAGAGTTAAGGAAATAATGAACGAGTCGAGAAGATAAAGTGGTGTGTAAGTAACATAAAGTGACGGTAATGATACACTTGAGAGCAACGTTAAGAGTAAATTGAGCAAAAAAGAATAAGAAAATATAAAAGGAAAAAAGGGACATTGTGTAAGTGAAGGCAGACATTAGTGGAACCTACCAAGGCCAGATGGGGTGTTATGTGCATGTTGAGAGTTGATGATCACAGGTGGATGGTGCGAGTAAGAGAAGGATGGAGTGAAGGAGATGGTGGATAGGTGAATGGGTGGAAGAGAGACATCCAGGAAGCACACACATACACACACACACACACACACACACACACACACACACACACACACTGAAAAGGATTAGCAGCCAATCAATGCACCACCTCTTCTGTCATCAGCACCTCCCTGCCACCACCGGCAGCCCCCACCCACCTATAGGAGCAGTCCGACACTACAACAAATTCAAATGCATAGCAGTTCGCACCGCCAGATATAAGAACAGCACCATCCCATCTAGTGTTAAAAATAATAAACAACTCCCTGATTTATGTACTGTACAGCCCTAAATGTATTCAATGCATATTATATCATTATGTCTAAATCAAATGTAAGTCTGTATATTTTCAGCCACTGGCTGCAACTCTGTTAATAAACTGCTTATTATTATTATTTTATACACACACACACACACACACACACACACACACTTAGACTTTAGAATATATTGTTTTGCTGGCATTGTACTGATAACAGTTCTGAATATAGTTGGATAATAATATATTTTATAATGCAAGTACCTTTAATATATACATCCATATATATTACCATTTACAAATTGAATAAGTTAACATCAGGTTTATTGCCTTATAGGGAAGGCATATGGCACGAGAGTTATCACTATATCAAATACTATAAGAAAATAAGGAAGTAAGAATAATTTACCACAGAACTGATTAACATATAAGGCAGAAGTCGTTACAAATTGGAAGTTACCAAAACTCTAGTTAAAATACAACCAATTTGTATCGTCAAATTAACATCAGTAACTGTAAAGTCAATAGACAAACACAAGAAGAAATAATATAATAATAGTTAATAGTTGATTCAATAGGAAACAGAAGTATTAGAGAACTGTAGCCATATAAGAGGTTTTCCGGCACATGAGAATGACTGAAGAATATGAACAAGAAACTGATGTTGACAGAAATGTTAAGTTAAAAGAAAACTAAAATGTTTGAGACAGAGACAACAGTAACACAAGGCAGGTAATTGGCTAATGTTTACCATCATTGTAAACAAACATCCCAGTTATTTCTCTTACATTATTATGCATAAAGTTTGTTGGTGTGAGAAAGAATAAATAAAGTTGTGAGATCAAAGAGAAGCCAAATTACTATTAAACAGAGCAACAGGTGAGTCAGTGAGGGTGACAACAGGAAAAGTTATTACAAGTACTGCGGCCTTGATCACCTCTACCTGTTGAGACTCACTTCACACCTGTTGAGTCAGACAGCAGGTGAAGGTCAACACATTACAGTTCTGTGTAACTTAAAGAGACGACGACCAGGTTAAGGTGTGACGATTACAAGGTGGGCGTTTGGTACAGTCCATTAGGAGAAGACCCATTACCATTACCATTGGTGATGCCATTACCATTACCATTGATGATACCATTGCCATTACCATTGGTATAGCCATTGCCATTACCATTGGTATAGCCATTTCCATTGGTGAGACCGTTGCCATTACCATTGGTGAGGCCATTGCCATTGGTAAAGCCGTTGCCATTACCATTGGCGAGGCCGTTGCCATTACCATTGGTGATGCCATTGCCATTACCATTGGTGTAGCCATTGCCATTGGTAAGGCCGTTTCCATTACCATTGGCGAGGCCGTTACCATTACCATTGGTATAGCCATTACCATTGGCGAGGCCGTTACCATTACCATTGGTATAGCCATTACCATTGGTGAGGCCGTTGCCATTACCATTGGTGAGGCCATTTCCATTACCTTTGCCATTGGTATATCCATTGCCATTACCATTACCATTGGTGAGGCCGTTACCATTACCATTGGTGAGCCCGTTGCCATTACCATTGGTATAGCCATTCCCATTACCGTTGGAAGCACCGTTAACACCGTTTACACCATAAGTGTACCCGTTGCCATTACCGTTGACCACTCCGATCAAAGCATTGAGGTCGTAGAACTGTGAGGCGGTGGAACAGTCGAAGTTGTACCACCAGTCGCACACGAAGTACTGCTGGTTGAAGATGGTGCCGTTGGGACACAGGAAGGAGTCGCTCCTGCCATCTGCTTGACAGATGTGGAACACCTGTCGAGGACAACATAATCAGAGATGTTAAGTTACTGTATAACATTTTGCTCATGGAGAACATCTGCTGAGCCGAGGGATATTTAAAATATACATGTATGTGATATATTTCTAGAGTTGATTGATGTTAATTTTGAGAATACAGATCGTTTTAAAAGAGGATATCATCCGTGGACAGTGACGGGCAGAGAGCTGTGATCGTTAACAAATAGTTCAAAGACGTTACTTTATACTGATACTCCGAGTGTGAGAGTGACCATATTTATAACTGAAACTTAGAAACAAACAATAGTGATGACTGAATGAAAAAAATAATTATTTAAACATATAGGAAGACGAAAAAAAAAGACTATTGAATGACACTAATAAGCACTTGGAAAAAATTATGTTGTAGTTTTGAGGAAGTGACTCAATATTCACTCTCATCAAAAGTTCAGTTTTAATTAGACTTACCAGACTCAGGAATTGCAGAAAGACTCGATTGACAGCCGGCCTCAGGGGCAGCATAAGACTCAGCTGACAGCCGGCCTCGGGGGCAGCATAAGACTCAGCTGACAGCTGGCCTCAGGGGCAGCATAAGACTCAGCTGACAGCCGGCCTCGGGGGCAGTATAAGACTTAGCTGACAGCCGGCCTCGGGGGCAGTATAAGACTCACCTGACAGCCGGCCTCCGGGGCAGTATAAGACTCACCTGACAGCCGGCCTCCGGGGCAGTATAAAACTCACCTGACAGCCGATCTCGGGGCAGTATAAGACTCAGTTGACAGCCGGCCTCGGGGGCAGTATAAGACTCACCTGACAGCCGGCCTCGGGGGCAGTGTCAGCGTAGTATCCGGGTATTAGTCCGCCGCAGGAGAATCCAGTGAAGGGGACAGAAGCCAGGATGGGATAGTCCACGCCGGGGACGCCGCCACCTCCAATAGCATCAGCAAGGGCGCTGATAGGGTCCACGATGCCGTTGTAGTACCCGTTTCCGTTAACAGCGCCGTTGCCGTTGACAAATCCGTTACCATTTCCATTGGCGTATCCGTTCCCGTTAACAGCACCGTTGCCGTTGACTACACCATTACCATTTCCATTGGCGTATCCGTTCCCGTTAACAGCACCGTTGCCATTGACGAATCCATTACCATTTCCATTTACACCATTACCATTTCCATTAGTATATGCACCATTTCCATTTACACCATTACCATTTCCATTTACACCATTACCAATTCCATTAGTATATGCACCATTTCCATTTACTCCATTGCCATTTCCATTTACAGCATTACCATTTCCGTTTACTCCGTTACCATTGCCATTAGTGTAAACACCATTACCATTTACGCCATTACCATTACCATTGCCATTTCCATTAGCAATGCCACCGTTACCATTGAAGCCATTAGTAGGCGCCAGGTAAGTCTGTTGCTGAGCCAGACACACGCCTATCACACCTGTTGTTGAGGAAACAACACCGACATTACTGGTGGCCAGAGTAAAGTACATCACAGAGCAGCAATATCCGTGTTAAGTCTGGGTCACATAATACCTCTTACGTGATCTTGTGAGGAAATTAAGTTAGTTATATGATGGTGATGTTATATTGTGCTTCAACAACTAAGACTGCTAGGTGGCTTATGATGAAAGAGTAATTAGTTGTTACAGGACTCGGTGAATTTAGTATGAAAAGTATTAAACTGTTATTTATCAAACACATGCGGTTATCTATTATACTTTAAAGGCATGTTCCGGGATACTTCGTTTGTAAATTGAAAATAAAATATATACATTACATATAACTATATAATCTGTAATATTAAGGGCTGAAGACAATAAAATTTGACACTTAAGTCATATAATTTGATTCATGACATTATCAGAGGACGTCAACACGATTATCAAAATACCACAAATAAGCAAAATTATCTCACCGAGACATAGAAGACTCCTCATCATTCTAGTCATGACAGCTCCCAGAAAGCAAGTGAAATGAGAAGAGTGAAACAAGTTCTTCTTAACAAGTGAGACTGAGAGGTAGCAGGGAGGTGGTAGAAGATGAGGGGGAGATGTGATGGTGGGTAGACGGTGCGGCGTCTTATATACCTGGTGGTGGTCAGGCAGGCGGTCCTCCCGCGTCAAGGACGGCAACAAGGAAAACGTAACATCAAGGGAGAACTACTTGTGTGTTTCTGGTCCACCACCTACGAGGTTTTTATCACGAATTAGAAATCTGACCTGATGAATCCTTACTAACAGGGAGTGAGTCAGCACTGGCCAGTAATTAAGGCACTTTAGTTTTAGGAACCCCAACACCTTTACCAGTTACCTACACCTAATTAATCCTTGAATTTCATGTGGAGTTTCTTTCGTGTACGTATGATTAATAACCGGCCATCCAGTTTACAGACATCCTGTACGTACATTACAATTTTCAGGTACTCTTGACCTTTGACCTTTGATCTATGAACTCCTAAACCCAACAAGGTTCGGGGTTCGGGATTTGATATATACTGTACTGTAATAACTATTGACTCATGGCCTCTAGAACTCGGCAAGTCTTTGAACTTGGCCAAGAGTGTCAGTATAACCTTCCAGTCTTCAGATATATTGTACTCAAGAATTTCCACTCACACCTGACCTTTGACCTCAGCAGTTTACCTCTGACCTCTATAGCTTAATATGATCTACAACTTCATCAATGGCTTTCTAGTGCTATACCTTACTCTAAACCAAAAATTGGTTACTACTTTATTTAGGTGAACTCTGACCTTTGAGATGACCCTAAAATGTCTTGTCACTCATGACTTGGTTTACAAACAGTTTCCTAATTGTTATCACTAAGTATCAGGATCTGTCACGTGTTTGAGGTGATACAAGGAGTAAATTATTAGTCATAACAACTTGAAGATGTAATTCTTAGGTAACTTGTCCCTGTAGACTCCTGAAGGGTGATCGTTGACCCGTGTGTAAGATAAAAGATATTTGAGCAACATGAGCGGGTTGCCTCCTGCAGTCTACTGGTGGCTGAAGGCCTCCCTCATATACTTTCACAATCTACGGTGTTCAGTCGTTGTGTTCCTCCAACCTTTATCTTACTTCAGGGGTCTAGATGATAGTTGGTCTTCCTCGTGTTCTCTGGCGCCACCCAGCAGTCCAGGATCACGATAGTGTGTTCTTCTGGCAGTGTGTCCCTCTCACCTTAAACCATTAATTCTTAAGTCAGTGTCTCACCCATTCCTTTGCTTTTTTTTTAGTTTTTATTCCTAAGCTGCATCTTTCCCTGCTTCCATGAGTAGTCTGGTGTGCATTTTGCTTCTAGATACCAAGTATTTGATGGTCTGTCAAACAAGCACCAGTGATATCCTGATCTAATTGCATATCCGTTGAGTGACTTGAAAGCTTCTCTAAATAGTTTCAAAATTATTCTTCCCCTTTACAGAGTAATACAGAGCCAAAAGACTTCCCATAACCCCTCTCACCATTACATCTTCCAAACACTTCCTGTACAAGCTGTAAATCTTTTATGGTTCTGTAATTTCATCTTAACTCAACTTGTTCTCTTATATAACCGATAATCAAGTGTTGTTAGCCCATAGTTAGTATTTTTATACAAATATTGTGTGTCATTTTAAGTAAATTACTTGGCCTTGAGTTTTTAAGTCTGTTTGCTTCTCATTTTTGAAATAAGTAAGATAAAAACATTGTTCCAACATTCTGCCACTCTGCTCTGTATACTGCTTGTAATTACTCTAGTCGTGCATTAACCTTCCTTATTTGCCAAATGGCCAGACCAACTAGAGGTGGCCATGCCCGAGGAAGGCCATCTGCTTGTGTAGGATCTCCCCATTGCTCTTGATAGCTGTGTCAAAGGATATGTTGAAGCCCAGTACTGATCTTTCTTCCACGGCTTTTGCTGGTAGACTGTTCCACAGATCTACCGCCCTCACTGTGAAGTCCAGTATATCATTATGTTCGTCCTAGTTGTCAGCCCTAAGTCCCAGTCTACTTGGGTAACCGAGATGGTTAAGAACGGAAATAATTTTAGTATCTCTGTGTTGCACTTTTTCCAGGGATGTTATGTCTTTATATCAGTAATACTGTGCCTCCCTTGATAACTTATTACACTTGTATTTATTCCTATTTCATTCTTCAGCGTAGGTTTATATCGGCTAGATTTTATTTCTATACTTTCCAGGATTATTAGCGTATTATTCCTTTGTGTATCTTACTTGATAAATTCATTATAAAAACAAGCTAGTTTATTTGTTATTGAAAAACGTTTGGTAAAATCTGTGGCGATAAGAAGGGTGAGGAAGAGTTGTGGTGGTGAATGAACGCTCCTATAAACCCGGTGGTGGTCAGGCAGGCGGTCTTCCCACGTCAAGTACGGCAATACAGAAAACGTAACATCAGTACTTTCCACATGGGATAAGTAATCACCCATAACCTTCCAATTTATTCTTTGGTTAACGATAAAGATGAAACGATTTACCTTCCTAGCGCTGTGACCTACTTTTGTTTTCTTAGGTCGTGAGTTGCTAGTGTGTTCTTCTCAGGATTGGTTTCAAAAATGTTGTTTCTGGATCGTGTAGTGGTGATACTAAAAGGTCTGGGGTATTAGCCAATGTTTAGTCCATTGGAGAAAAGGTGACTCGTCCTCTCCTCCAACCATCGACATATCTTTCGTTTATCATCTCTCAAGTCAAGGCGATCTGTCTCAAACACTGTGCAAACACACTGAGGAACACCAACTTTATCGTGATGCTCAATATGGCTTCTGCAACATAAGTCCCATTTCAGACTTACTGCCTCTCAACTTTGACTTAGCGAAGTTTGTCTCGTTGTCTTTCATTTCATCAAAAGCTTATGGCGAGGTCTGACAGCTGGTGATCTTGACAAACTTCCATCTTTTGGTGTTCTTAATTCTTGTCCTCTGTGTCTCTTCTCTCTAGCCGTCACATCCGTAAAGTTGTGAACAGGTAACACCCAGCTGTGGACAGTTAACACCCAGTTGTGGACAGTTAACACCCAGTTGTGGACAGTTAACACCCAGTTGTGGACAGTTAACACCCAGTTGTGAACAGTTAACACCCAGTTGTGAACAGTTAACACCCAGTTTAGGTTCCTATCAACGCTGGAGTTCCTAAAGTCACAGTTCTTGCTCCTTCCATTATCTTTTCAGTCTGCATTAATGACCTCTCCATTCTCTACAACACCACATGTTCCTTTAGCAGTAACAATAACATCCACAGAGCTAAAAAAATACCACTCTAATATCCACATTTACTCATTCAAGCTTCCCAACCAATCTACCTAAATATACTACAGCTAATCAGTTGGTCACAAATATACCTGTACCACCAATACTTAGCTTCTTACTTCTGTCGTCAACAAGATCATCACTAGCCTCGAGTGTAAGTAATTAACACCAACATTATATCAGCCATCAATGTCAATATCTTCGGTCAGGGGTAAAGAATAACCACTTCTTGAGTACTATAAATATTTCTGTACTTCGCTGTCTTATCCATACTTGAGGAGGTGGGATGAATGCTTACGTACAACAGACAATGATAATCTGTTTCTCACGCTATTACTAATCAAGTTCTCCTACTTATTCCTTCCCCCATTGTTGTGTTTTAGTGAACTTTTACCCCGAATGTTGAAATCTCTTTTATAACACGTAGTTTCTCCCCATTTAAACAAAGAATACAGAGTTTGTTAATGTATCCAGTCCAAGGCCGTATCCAGGAATTATGTTATGGGGGGGAAGGGGAGGCGTTGTAATTCCCCCCCCCCCACCCCCCTCCCCCCCATCCCCAGAAATTTTTGAAAATTTTACCGAATCATTAAATTTCACTCTCTATCTTGTCACTACTATGTAAGAGCATTTCACCTTAGGTCAATTCTAATACTGTGCAGTTCCCTCGTATATGACATCCGTTTGTATTGCTATGGGCCACATCACCTATCTGCTTTTGGCCAATTGTTCGCTTATGGTAGTAATGATCGATCAGAAGATGAGTGAGTCAAATCCCTTGGTTACGCCCCACATCTATAAGAACATTAGAAGATAAGAATGGAGGAAACCCATAAATATTTCACCATAAATAAAGCTCTTGAACCAAACCAAAACACAGGAATCTTAGCTTTACATGGTACCCTTCCTCAATGACTTATTCTCTCATCCAGCTACTAAAAATATATTAAAAACAGAACTCCTTTAACTTAATATACGTTCACATAACACATTCATATATTTCCTTCAGTTCATTCATGTTTATTATCATGTTTTTTTTTTCTTTATAGACACTTCATTCACTATAAAACAACAAACTAACATTCACTCTAAACTAACATTAACATTCGTATACATTCACCACAAAACATCAACTTTAACATTCAAACCTAAACTAACATTAACATTCTTATACATTCACCACAAAACATCAACTTTAACATTCAAACCTAAACTAACATTAACATTCTTATACATTCACCACAAAACATCAACTTTAACATTCAAACCTAAACTAACATTAACATTCTTATACATTCACCACAAAACATCAACTTTAACATTCAAACCTAAACTAACATTAACATTCGTATACATTCACCACAAAACATCAACTTTAACATTCAAACCTAAACTAAAATTAACATTCTTTCTTAGATAACATTAACAAGAGGTATTACCCAACATCCTCTCCTCATCATTCTACCAAACATCTCTTCAACCATTAACACAATAGTCACTTACGTCTCATCTAATATACATCATTAGTCTCAGAAACCTCTTTAATCTGATCTGCCTTCCTTCCTTCCTTCCTTCCTTCCTTCCTTCCTTCATTCATTCCTTTTATTCCTTCCTTCTTTCTTTAAGTCATAACCTGTAGAGTCTCACAATCTTACCTGAGATCGTAATTACTTATTTTTTTTTAAAGAATATTTACTTTTCTGTTAACTTTATAATATGTTCACAGATACACACACACACACACACACACACACACACACACACACACACACACACACACACACACACACACACACACACTGGGTTTTAGTATTAGAACCAGACAAAATAATTCGAACATAAATTTTAGTTGAGGACGAAAGGTTTATGGCTGACAGAATGAAGACGAATGATGGAGACGATAGAGACGAAGAGACGAAGAGACGAAGAGACGAAGACATTGAGATTTACATTTTCATTCCGTGACATTTAAATATATTAGTGATAAAGGTTAAGTGATAAATAAAATAATAGGACTGGAAAGAGAATGTTATCCATTATATTATGAAGAAAATATGTAATAGCACTTTCTGTTTTGCTATGTGTTTATTTTGTGTTCGTTTGTAGTGGTGTGTGTTGTACTCTGTATCCCGTGACCGCCATAGCTAACGATATGCGTCTTTCCGGTCTTTGTATGAAATTTAATTAGTCTGTTTGTCTTTGTATTACGATAGGTTGACCTTGGAGGAAAAGATTTTGTAAATTTTATAGAAAGGAAGAATTTGACTAGATGGAACCTAAGAAAAAGAGACTCTCGCCCTGGTGGAAACTTCAATAATGAGGTTCTGATACAACATCCATCACTCTCTCACTCACTCACTCACTCACCCACTCACTCACTCACTCACAAGACGGCGGTGGGATTCGAGTGGGAAGAAACGGTTGCGATCACGTTGTAGAAAGTAGGATGAACAAACAAGGCGATAATGATAAGATGCTAAAGGTGGAGAGAAGACTAGCTATGGCGTAAGAGGTTAGGTGAGTGAGTGAGTGAGTGGTTAAGAAGGGATCAAGGTAAGTTCATGGACGACCTTCTTGAGCTAAGTTATGATGAAGAAATTCTTTCCTTCTGATTCGCCAGCTTCACCCCAAGAGGAAAATACCCAACACACTGTAAATGCCTAATACTAAAACTACCCCAAACTACCCTAAATATAATACTTTGGTGGAGATTATTATTTTCCCTTGTTCCTTCAGATTCATTGTGGAAAAAAAATATTGAAGGCATTTATGAGAGACACAAAGTTTACCATTATAATTTCAGCTGAAGAGTTTGGAGATGGAAGGTATTTACTACTGATGGAGAGAAATGCTTAGACTGAGAGTAAGGAAACACCCATAGACAATAAATAAAGTAGATTAAAACAAGACAAACGACGACCAGTTAACTGAGGACTGACGGGGGCGCTGACGGGGTGCTGACGGGGTGCTGACGGGGGGCTGACGGGGTGCTGACGGGGGGCTGACTGACTGGGGCTGGTATAGTCAGACCCACATCCAAAATGGTTTTAACCTTTTCCATCGGTTTCCTCAGTGATGGTAGAAATTAGATCAAAGTTATACGGTAATTGCCACTAAGTAATAATTATACTTTCAGACTGACGAGACTTTCACTTCCTGCAGACAAATGACTGGTGGGTGACTGAGGGTAGCGGGAAGCAGAGCAAACTGATTTTAGTATTATTGTCTTTTGTTACATAAGTGTAGTAGTGAAGATGATTGAGTTTTTATTTTATTTTTTTTTATTTTTCTCATCAATTATACATCTTCAGTTGTCATTTACCTTCATTAACTTATAAATCAGTACTAACTCTCCAGACGACCCAACCATCGGAATTTAGCAGGGGTGTCTGTGTCTCCCCCTGAGGTACGGTTCATCGTCTCTCACAACACCTTAACCTGCCTTGTGTAACACCTGGCCTCATTTACTATCTCACTACTATTACTCCCTCTGCTTGCTTACCTAATTTAATGTTTTTTTTTTTTTTTTTTTTTTTTTTTAAATTTGTTCGATAATTTGGAGATTTTCATACAAATTATATATACTTGTACATATATAACTCATGTGTGTGTGTGTGTGTGTGTGTGTGTGTGTGTGTGTGTGTGTGTTATTATTCGACGCACCTAAGGTTATACTGTGTAAAATAATAAGTCACGATTTTTCTCGCCCACCTGTGTTGAAGATCATTAATACCGGACACAAAGGTAATCCAGGTAGCGTCTATTACTCTCCTCCGACCTTGAGCCCCCCGGAGTGTCTACCTTCCGACCACGTATATAAAGCGGCGCCAGTTGGATCCAACATCACAACTCTCGCCTCCTCCTTCTCCTCTGGTCTTCGTCAGCTGGTCTGTTGAAGCTGATACAACTGACTCAGAGACCAACAACAGCTGCCTTGTAATCCATAAAACATATCCAACATGAAGATCTTATCCCACCTTATCTTCATCGGTAAGTTATAAGGCTTTTATTTTGTTCTTGTGTATATAATCATCCTCAAGTGACGGGTTATACAGATAGTGGAACCATAGTTATTGGAAGTTAATACATTTACGTGCAGTTATTGTCGTGAGTATCTCTTAATAGATCATAATAAACAACTCTTGTGATAATGATTCATCTTAGAGGGTTGGGCCCACATCCCGTTACCTGCTACAGGAGGTCAGGTGTAGTAGTAGTCTCCTGTAGGGAATTAATATGACACTATATTAGTTTACCCTCAACGGCATCATTTGATTCGTAAAATAAACTAGGATGATTAATACAATAAGTCTTAGTATGAATATCTCTTGTTGTGCCAGACCGCCCCTCTCTGATCTCACCAATACACTGTTGATTATTTACACGTAACACCATAAACTATTTACAGAACCATTACACTTTCAGCTTTCACTTTACTCATACGTCAGTGCAATATTTCCCTCTACAGCTCTATCGAATCTCACCTAAAACTGTAAAAAAGCTTATGAGCTTTGAGTAAAACTTTTAATACTACATTTAAAACTAACAAGAGCTTTAAAAACAGAGGAAACGATGTGAATTTCCACAGATAGTTCTAATGCCTCGTAGATCCAAAGTGACAGACGAAACACAGAGAGTATGTTTACATATGTAGGACCTGTGTGTGTGTGTGTGTGTGTGTGATATGTAGCAAACTTTCTCTCTCTCTGTCTCTCTCTCTCTCACTCTCTCTCTCTCTCTCTCAACAGTGGTCATCGGTTCCTGCTTCTCGTCAAGACTCGGTTACTTACCTCCTCCACCTAATGGAAATGGCAACGGTGGATATACCAATGGCAACGGAGTCAATGGCAACGTAAATGGGGTCAAATCAATGGCAGCACAATGGCAACAGCACAGTGGATATACTAATAGCAGCAGGTCAATAGCAGGTAAATGGCAACGGTGGATATACTAATGGCAACGGAGTCAATAGCAGTCAATGGCAACGGAGTCAATGGCAACGGGGTTAATGGCAATGGTGGATATACAAATGGCAACGGAGTCAATGGCAACGGTGGATATACAAATGGCAACGGAGTCAATGGCAACGGGGTCAATGGCAACGGAGTCAATGGCAACGGTGGCTATACCTATGGCGTTGGAAACGGAAATGGTAATGGATACAATGGTAATGGTGCCAAAGCTAACGGCAATGGAAACGGTAAAATAAACGGAAACGGAGCCGTAAACGGCAACGGTTACAGGAATGGCAACGGTAACGGTTACAGGAACGGCAACGGTAACGGTTACAGGAACGGCAACGGTAACGGTTACAGGAACGGCAACGGTAACGGTTACAGGAACGGCAACGGTAACGGTTACAGGAACGGCAACGGTAACGGTTATAGGAACGGCAACGGTAACGGTAATAAAAATGGCAATGGAAAAGTAAATGGAAATGGTTACAGATATGGTGTTAATGGCAATGGTGTCAACGGTAATGGCAACGGCTACACCAATGGTAATGGTAATGGCTACACAAACGGCAACGGTTACACCAACGGCAACGGAGTCAACGGTAATGGCAACGGCTATTCCAACGGTAATGGTTACACCAATGGCAATGGAGTCAACGGTAATGGTAATGGCTACACCAACGGCAACGGAGTCAACGGTAATGGCAACGGCTATTCCAACGGTAATGGTTACACCAATGGCAATGGAGTCAACGGTAATGGCAACGGCTACACCAACGGTAATGGCAACGGCTACACCAACGGTAATGGTAACGGCAACGGAGTCAACGGCAATGGCAACGGCTACACCAACGGCAATGGTAACGGCTACACCAACGGTAATGGTAATGGATACACCAATGGTAATGGTTACACCAATGGCAATGGAGTCAACGGTAATGGCAATGGTTACACCAACGGTAATGGTAATGGTTATGCCAATGGCAACGGAGTCAACGGTAATGGCAACGGCTACACCAATGGCAAAGGAGTCAACGGTAATGGAAATGGGTACACCAACGGTAACGGTAATGGTTATACCAATGGCAACGGTAAAGGAGTCAATGGTAATGGGCATACCAACGGAAATGGCGTCAACGGGTACTCCAACGGTAACGGCGTCAACGGTAACGGAGTGAACGGTAATGGAGCCAACGGGTACACCAACGGTAATGGAGTCAACGGGTACACCAACGGTAATGGAGTCAACGGGTACACCAACGGAAACGGCGTCAACGGTAATGGAGTCAACGGGTACACCAACGGTAACGGCGTCAACGGTAATGGTGCCAACGGGTACACCAACGGTAACGGAGCCAACGGGTTTACCATCCCTGTTCCAGCCACACCCTCCGGACTCTACCAGACGCCAGCCTAGTAAACACACTCAGCCACCACACCCTGCAGGCTACACTCCTCTGTGTATGTATACTCTGCTACGCGTATGTACACATGAAAGTTACACTCTACTTACAAAATACAGTGTATACATGTGTAGGCTTACCATACTTTCGGCTCTACTGTTTCAATACTATTATTATTATTTAAAAATTTCCCTATTTAATATTTCTTATGTAAAAAGAGGCTCAGTGTTCCTTCTTAGATTGCTTCAACTTGGTTATGTTAATAGTTGTCAATATTTCCTGTATTTATGAACATTTAATAAAAAAGACTCACGTATATGATGTTTTCCTGTTGTTTCACCTCATATTGTGTTAAAAAGTTATTCTTCCATGTAGAGTTGGAAAGACATTTTTTTTTATTAATTCACATATTTGCCATAAAAAGGTTAAGTACAATACCAAAATATCTTAATGTTTTAGAAGAAAGTGAATCAAAAGCATAGTGTCTGGAAATATCAAGAACAATGCAGGAGCTTTTTAAACGATCGAGGGCTGGAACTTTGAACACTTGCTGCAAAATCCACATCAGGATCACATATAATTATAAATAAATCGTACTAGCAACTCTGGATATATCATTTATTATCCGTAGATTTTGTCACGTTCCAACACTCAACTGTTATGTGTTATAACTCTGAAACTATGGGGTATTGACGCGATGGTCATGAAGTCATTTATCCTTATGTATGTCTCAGGAAGACACCGGAGCAGACAGAAGACTAGAGGTCGAGAGGGAGATTAAACATCTATGACCTGCAGGACAGACCCAGTCCAGAGTAGCAAGTTGACACACCGAGAACAGCCATGAACGTGGAGTGGTACTAAGTTAAGGTGGTGAGAATTTATCCTCCACCATCCACCAAGGATGCACGTAGGTCGAGCTGAAAATATAGTAACAAAGGCCTGCGAAGACTCACAGTAATTTGAAGAGAAAGTTGACTTTAATCCTCATGAAGGTTCAGTATAATATTAAGTCAGTAACTCTTCGTGATCATGACTGGCTGTACAGAGTAAGAACATCACGTGCTGGTGGTTGTGGGAGCGTTTGTGTGTGGCTGATCTTGGGATAACAGCAAAGACGGAGAATAAGTTGAAAAAAGTTACAATAACAGGACTGTCCAGAGGCAGGAGCTGTAACAAGACGGGAAGAGACAGAATAAAGGATTGTCGATAAGAGAAATGAGGAACTGTCGCAAGTAAAAAGGGCTTATATACTTTGGCTCGATGATAAAGACGGGGACATGAAGAAGGACATGAAGGAGGTGAAGCAGAGATAGACAAAGTACAATAACAACGAAGAAGTTGTGTATGACAGAAGGGAATATTTTCAGCAGCTCGTGAAAAGTACGAGTCAATTTTTCCGATGTTCCGTTTCTCTTAGTGTAGTGGGACTTGTAGATTCCTTCAGACAGAACAATCTCAATGTTTTCCCATGACCACTATGGTTCTTGTCCAGAGTCTAGACCTAAAAACACACCTCGTCCACCATTAGCCACTATCACCGATGTAGCAGCTTGATTACGAGTTGGAATTTCCTCATATATTTTGTGAACGAGTAAATAAACCACCAGAAGCATCACTATCGAAACTCGTGCTCCTCCTCCCACACTCGTCTCCACCGCTACTCTGGCAGCTCCCTCCTCATCCATTGCAGTATCGGGCTGTACCTTATGTAGTTCTGTTGCCTCCTGAATACTTTTTCTAGACCACAACGCACAATACTTAAACTGATACCAGAAGGTTTTGTATCGCCTGTTTCTCTGATGCTTCCCATGACTTTCCACCCTCTATTCTCCTGTCAGCGTTCTGAGGTCTTCTCGACAATCTATCTGCCCTCAGGTTCTCCTCAACTGGCTGACACTGTAAATTAAACCTGAATCTCCACACATCAGTCAACGAACAACTCTTCACTGTTACTATCTTAGCTGCATGAAGAAGGTTTTACAGGGTTATTGTCAGTCAGTTCAAAAAATTCTGCTCGGTCAAGTAATCTATAAACTTGACCGAAATAGCCCACTAAATGCGATCAACCTCATCTTACATACAGTACCCCATGACTAGACGTCTTCCTCTCAGCCACCTTAAACCCCTACAAGAAGTAACCAGTGAGTGTCGTACATCCTGCTCCTGCAACAACATCTTCGTCACTTGTTATTATCTAAAAAAAAAAAAAACACGACACAGGAACGACCGGCTATATAAATCTTTTAAACACCATAAAACCTCCTCTTCCATGTTTCACACAACCGAGTCTCAACCATTATTACCCTGTGCTCCCATCAACACGTACACAATGGCCAGGCAACACTTAAGATCCTAGGCATATAAAAGTATTTACAATTTGTGAAAACGCCACAGACGCACGCACCTCCGCAAGGATATCTGACCTAAATCATTGCTACACAAACTCTCACCTCCTGCTAGTTCCCCTGAATCCTCTCCTCAGTGACTCAAAAGTCCAAGTACAAAGATAAAATTAGTTGGATGCTTCTGGGGAAATCTGGCAATTACTTAAGCAAAAAGAAAATGGTGGTTACGTAGGAAAGGAACGACTGAAATTATAAAATCTATAATATTTTTTACTGTTCCAAAAATAACTTACAATGAAAATTTCACTCTATTATATAAACCAGTTACTTATATGACCCACGAGTAGATGCCAAATATTGCCAGAAGTGTCAAGAGAAATTTATCCACAACTGTTCTGTACCTCACATGTACCCGTAGCAACTTTCATTCGGTCAGATTTTGAAGAAAGTAAAAACTAAAGAACTAAACTGAATAAACGAGGAAATATTAGAACAAACAATAACATAGATGAAACTTATTTTATTGTGTTTTCATAAATACAAGAAATATTGACAGAGACAAGCATAAGCACATTGAAGCCGTCTATGGAGGAACACTGATGCTCAATAAACTATGAAATAATAAATAAGGAAATAATAAATAATAATTAAAAAGAGTTTACAGGCAGGAAAGCTCACACGTATACAATGTGTTGCCATTACAGATTATACATGTATATATACTGTACACACAAGAGTATACATGCACATAGCAGGGTATACATAAATGTAGCAGGGTATACATACATACACAGGGGAGGTGTGTAGCATCAGTATACAACATGTAGCCTGCAGGGTGTGGTGGCTGAGTGTGTTTACTAGGCTGGCGTCCGGTAGAGTCTGGAGGGTGTGGCTGGCACAGGGATGGTCAAACCGTTGGCTCCGTTACCGTTGACACCGTTACCGTTGACACCGTTACCGTTGACACCGTTACCGTTGACACCGTTACCATTGGTGTATCCGTTGGCTCCATTACCGTTGGTGTACCCGTTGACACCATTACCGTTGACTCCGTTACCGTTGGTGTACCCATTGGCTCCATTACCGTTGACACCGTTACCGTTGACACCATTACCGTTGGTGTACCCATTGACACCGTTACCGTTGGTGTACCCATTGACACCATTACCGTTGGTGTACCCATTGACACCGTTACCGTTGGTGTACCCATTGACACCATTACCGTTGGTGTACCCGTTGACACCATTAGTGTATCCGTTACCGTTCGTGAGGCCGTTGACACCATTACCGTTGACTCCGTTACCGTTGGTGTATCCATTGCCATTGACTCCGTTACCGTTGGTGTATCCGTTGCCATTGACTCCGTTACCGTTGGTGTATCCGTTACCGTTGACTCCATTACCATTGGTGTACCCGTTGCCATTGACTCCGTTGCCGTTGCCATTGACTCCGTTACCGTTGCCATTGACTCCGTTACCGTTACCGTTGGTGTATCCATTGCCGTTGACTCCGTTACCATTAGTGTACCCGTTACCATTGACTCCGATTCCGTAGACGTACCCATTAGCACCGTTACCGTTGACTCCATTACCATTGGTGTACCCGTTGCCATTGACCGCTACTTCACATTGCCGCGTTGACTCGTTACCGTTTGTGTACCCGTTACCGCTGACCTGTTACCGTTGGTGTATCCGTTGTTGCTGACCTGCCGTTGCTATTGACCTGTTACTGTTGGTGTATCCGTTGCCGTGTTGACTCCGTTACCGTTTGTGTACCCGTTACCGTTGACCTGTTACTGGTGTATCCGTTGCCGTTGACCGTTACCGTTGCTATTGACTCCGTTACCGTTGGTGTATCCGTTGCCGTTGGTATCCGTTGCTGCTGTTAATTTGCTGCCATTGACTCTGTTACCATTGCCGTTGACCCCGTTACTGTTACTGTTGACCTGTTATCACAAGCGTTGACTCCGTTACCGTTGGTGTATCCGTTGCCGTTGACTCCATTACCGTTGGTGTATCCGTTGCCGTTGACTCCATTACCATTGGTGTATCCATTGCCATTGACTCCGTTACCGTTGGTGTATCCGTTGCCGTTGACTCCATTACCATTGGTGTATCCATTGCCATTGACTCCGTTACCGTTGGTGTATCCGTTGCCGTTGACTCCGTTACCGTTGCCATTGGTGTAACCATTACCATTAACGAGGGCACCATTGCCATTAACACCATATCTGTAACCATTTCCGTTTCCGTTTACTTTTCCATTGCCGTTGCCATTCCTATACCCATTTCTATATCCATTCCCATTAGAATGACCATTACCATTTCTGTAAACGCCGTTGCCATTTACTATGACACCATTACCATTGTACCCATTACCATTCCCGTTTCCAACTCCATACGAATAACCACCATTTCCATTAACACCATTTCCATTTCCGTTGCCGTTGACAATGACACCGTTGCCATTAACTCCATTACCATTGATACCATTGCCATTGACACCATTGCCATTAACTCCATTGCCATTGACACCATTGACA